TAAATAATCCGTTATTTCCTTCTGGAAGTAAGAATAGTTGTTCCATTGTTATGGAGGTGACATTAAAATCAGTTTCGATAGTTTCCACGGCTTTCTGTTATCGGGACCCGCCTCACGTCACGCGACAGGCAACCGATTCTTTAGCGTCACCACTGAGGTTCAACGTTTCACGGTATTACGAGTAGCTGACACGTCTCGCGTTTTTTCGACGATCTACCACGTCATAATCTTATGATAAGTTCGCAAAGATTCACAAATGCACTGATGTTATTAGCGTAGCACGTGCTGCTGATAACAGAATAATCTTTGACATGCTAGTGCGTGAATGAAAATAACACTGTTTAAAGTTTTAAAGTTTGTAATCAAAATCTGCGACAACTTTTTTTGCTGGATTCCTCACTGGGGTGTCGCTCGTGTCCGATGACCACCATGGTCTAGCTACACATCTGAACGCAACACTCACGATGACGTCAGAGTTAGACCTATTTATTCGACCAATCAAATCTATTTTGAATAGCGTAACGAGCGGAGATTCAGTTGCGTGTGGAATACAAGTGATATTACTAGTATTGCAGCTAGGCGCTGGCGGAGTTGCTCAGGGCGAGTGCATGGAACGCTGCATGGATTCTAGGCTATCGTTTAATAAGAGAGCAGAGATTGCAGTGACTGAGAAGTGTTCTTAAGAGTTCTACTATGGGAATCAGGTTGACTAGGAGCTCTGGTTTCCGGTAATTATGAGTTAGTTCACCTTGGTAAGCCCTGAAGTAGGCGCCTCATTGTAATAGCGGTAATGTTATACGCAGGGTACATACACGGGAGGAGACAAGTGAAAGGCTCTGTCACGAAAACAAATTGGGACACCTCAACACCAGCTTATTGTTGTGGTGTGTGTCAAAATAATATACAACAACACTTTGGTTAGTTTACCCAAAACACAGCTAACCGACAGTAAAAACAGTTCCGTGAAAAAAATAAAACATTAGTGCTTGCTTAGTTAGCGGGTATTGTAGATTGGAGCGTAAATACGTCTGGTAACTTTCGTTCTGAAATCTCGTGCTCGAAGTTGGATTTGTAACATGTATTAGGCCTTTTGAAAACAAAGGTCAATGTTATTTTTCAATATTTGTTTTCTTTCAAATTTTGAACAAGACATATATGCAATAGTAAATCATGCCTACGCGGTACACAGTTAACGATGACATCATTGACAAACGCGTAAAAAAAATACAAAATATAGCAGTATTCTTTTGGCGGGAAAAATTATCTCGTTTAAAAATTTAGGCCCGGATATGGCTAATATACGGAAGCGCCATGAGTTACTTTTTAGTTGTTTCGGTTAGGTCAGTTTGAAATAATTTCAAAAGTAGTGGTTTATAACAGACTACAAGTGGTTTCGTGTACTCCGTTCGGTTGCGACTATTATTCTTTTCTGCGTGTTTTCAAACAGAGCCATTTTACAGTCGTTTTATAGCTTGTTTTCCGATTGAACGCAAACCACTTCGCCTAGGCTTTTAACACGGCCACTGAAAAAAGGGCACTTCAGCCTGACTCCCTAGCTCACACACAAACCGACAAGGATATTCATTGTTTGACTTCAGCGGCCATTTTGGGTTTGTTTTTCTCAGAGTCCGGTACAGGCTCATATAGGCAGCCCATAAGCGTTTAAGCAAACACGCACGGAATTCCTTTCAGAACGGACAAAGGCGAACACCGTATCACATTTATAAATTAACAAAAAGTACAACATTTGACGGATAAAAGAAAATGCAGTCACAGTAAAACAATTTAATTGAGAAAACACCCCGACGGTAAGATTGCGTTACCTTTTTTTAAAAAAAAAAATGCGTACGAATAAAGTCGTTGTAAAAACATACACCAATCAAAGATTATCGTTCTATTTTAACTTATAATAAAGACCACGTAAACAAAACAGAAAGGGATTAACGCTACTCCCAGTGCAGTGCGTTCAATGGAATTTATCAAAAGTCGACAACCTGCTTTTCAGAGGATGAAAAAAGTCAACGTTTCTTTAAAGAATCAGTCAGTCACTTACATATATAACATATTTTCAAAGAAACGAAGCGAAATCTGTCAAACACCGAACAGAAATCGTTTAAACGCCGAGGTCTAAGAATGCACTTTCTCCACCCGGTGTGACGTCACCAATGAGTCGAGGTTCTGCCCAGATATCGCACTGTACCGACGTGAGACGGTCAAGAGATGAACAAGTCACGTGACCCAGTACAAGTCAGTAATGGTATAAAACGGCTACTTGACTCGACTTCTACTGAACACACGCCATAATACGGTGGATAATGGCAAATTAAACATCGTCATTTGTTCTCATTAATATCGGCGTCATAATAATCACAGTGCGAAATAATTGAATATATGCAATTGTAAGTGGAATGAGTTTATGTTTTGTGATGTTAGACAATGTCGGCGAGCGACTGCACACACTCGCGTCATTTCACGCGCTCGACATAAATCGATGACATTGTGCTCCGTTCAATAAATACCGGCACCGCAGAGTACAGGTTTAAAATAGACCATTTTCCGGTACACTGCGAGAATCACGCGTTATGCGTGAAATCGAACGTAAAAACAGGACAAACAAAGGTCATAGCGTCGTAGTCGCGTCAAACATCGCGTGGGATTCGACAAACGCGAAAGTATTTCGGGGACATTTCCATGCTTAATAATGTGCTGTCCACATTTGATGATAGGCAATTTCGATTAAGTAAGGGTAGTCGGAAGCAATATTCCTCTGTCGAAGATCGGCCGGTCAATGTAAGCTGCGAAATAAAGAAATTCTAGTTCAAAATCAAATCGTTCGATTTTTGCAGCAGACGTTCGACGCGCGTCTTTCATGCATCTCGCGAGATCTCGCAATTGTTCGGAAAATCACCTATTGAATTCAAATGTTTTGCCGCTAGATGACTTTCAAAAAAAAAATTTAAAAATTATATTAGGCGGCTTTTGAAGATATTGCTTAGGTCTGTGGGCCGATAACAGTTTTTTTTTTTAACATGGCTGTTCTGCGTAAAATATTATTGCGACCAAAAATGCACGCTAAAACAAGAATTGTTTTAAGTTTTCGGGTTAAAATTCGCGCATGCTATTTGGGCGTGATGATTTTCGAGAAAGTTATCACCCCCATGTCGGCTGGGGGACGAAAAGTAAGCTTTGCCGCCGCTGAAACGTAGTCTCGTGACGCATACCGTGAATTGCATTGGCGACAGAACCACGACAGGCCCGTCGTCGACTTTCAAGCCTGAAAAAAGGAATCATGAAAGATTAAATGAGATTTTTTTTAATGGAGAACATTTATTTGGCTCTAGTGATAAATGACCGACGCGGAAGAATTCCTTGTCTGGGTCGTTATCGCAGCCGTGTATCCTTGCCTCTAATCGAAGAGATATCTTGGAGTCCCTTGCTACGTCTGTGTTATCAATTGGCTAATCTTTTTATCGGGTTGTAACATCAAGTTAGATTTTACAATTCAGGTTTTTCGAGTTATATATTGCTATAGTATAGTCTGACAAGTTTCCTCCTCGGCGATGATCGCCGTGTTACGAGACTTGCCGAGCTTGACGACTAGGTCAAATCGGGGATAATTCGTATATAGGGGATTTTTTTTAATTTTTAATTTTTATTTTTACAAATCATATAGTTAAAAGGCATCATTATGACGTGGGGACCATCACTCATCGTGTGAATTCGAGTTAATTTGCGCCAGTGAAAAACAAATGCGGTTATTAATATCGCGCTGATAGCCCGAAATGCGCCATGTTTTGACGTTATCCTTAATTTGGGGCGAATATAATCTCACAAGCAAATACGGTATTACTCGGCCGCTATCCCATCCTGGTGAATAAAAAAAAAAACGTTTAACCAGGGTGTGCCAAAAAACGGAAGGAAAACATATACATTTTTTTTATTTTTTTCTGATATTTTTAATTAAAATACAGCGAGCTACGTACAGGTAATGGGGGACATTAGCCACAGTCTGGCTATAAGTGTTCGTTTACCGAAGCTGTTTGTTGATCGGGGTACAAATTGAGTGCGACAACGACTCTAACGCTGGAGTCAATCGGTAATAGCCCACAACGAACTACAGTACAAAGATCGCGTCTTTGTTAGCATTTGAAATACTCGTAAATGTAGACACTCCGATAAGCGACGTATTATAACTAATAAACACCGAAAACAGGTTATTTGCCCAACCACGATAGGCTTACCCCGTCCGACAACAGCACCAACACAAAACAAAACTCAAACAAGCGCATTTGCCTACTTTACCGAGAATTACAATTTTTAAAAATACAAAATAGTCGAAAAAATGCTAACGCATCTGACGTACGGATTTTATTTGGCTTAATTTAACTAGGGGGATTACCATTTTCAAGTTTTACGAGCCAGTCGAGGCTTACAAATATGAAGCTCCAAAAATAACTCAATTTTGAACACATTTCGATGCGTCAGAAATACATCGGACCAAATTAAAAATCCCCCTTTTTAGTCATTTTGTCAACAGCCCCATTTAGTATTTTAACGACTGCGGGATTTAACCCCACATCCGAAACCGCGCTGGCTGGTACATTGGCACTCGTCGCGTAGCTAAGGTAAGGTAAGTTAAACAATCTGACCTGTCGTACATAAACTCGATAGCAGTGATACGATTAAATCGCTTCAGTTAAAGCAGACGACCCGTCGCAATTCCCTTGTACTGCCGTCAAATTCAACGCACGGAACTTGAGGTTGTCATTAACTGAAACGTTATCGTTGATTGGAGGCGCGGACGCGGAGGTTGAATACTGATGGATTCGGGGTTTTGTCTCTTGCAAAGGACAGTCAAATCACAGCGGAGCAAACTGTCATCGCCGTGGGACTTGCCGAGTGCACACATAGCTGATATATTAACAACGTTGTTATGCATCAAACACGTGTGACACAGTTTTCAGATCGTTTCGACAAAATACATGATAAAAAAACCTTACCTGTGTCATTAATCGGTCCGCTCCGGTCCCCTCTTCGTCTTTGAACATAATATCGGCGTTGTACACCGTCTGTAAGTCTTTGAATTCATCGTCCTCCCGCGTGATTTTTTTCTCGTTCGGTCCACTCGCGCCGAGGGTATTCTCGGATACATTGGGGATACACTGCTTATACAGCAGTGGCGTTAGTTCCCTCGATGGTCTCCTCCGTCCACCGCCCCTCCCAGGACCGCACGACCAGCACCCACTTGTCAGAAGGCACAACAGAAATGTCGCTGTGAAAACAATATTGTGGTAATTCATGTTTCAACTCAGTTGCGGTCCCACGTTTTTTCTCTCTCTCTTTCTCTCTCTCTCTTCACCAGGTGATTATTGCGGCTAATTCCTGCTCATAGTTGGCTGGGTGGACGTCAGTTAATTTTAAAGTAAGACTACGCGTTGAACACAGCCACGATCATCCGGTTGAGGAGAATGCACTGGCAGCGATAACTGGACAGGTATCCCCTTAAATACGCACGGGACTAGTGAATAAAACTCCTGCTAGCTGCGGAGGACAATAACGATGGCATCCCGTGGTTTACTTGCTGCGCTACGTACTGTGACAGTCACTTGCAAAATATCCTTGCCTTCTTGTACTCTGCTTAGCGAGCGACTGGTGTAGAAGCAAATCCACACACACGAATCAGCACTCGGTTGTGTGCACAGCCACGACGTTTGATTGGTCGGTGGGTGATAACTGTCAGATTTCAAGAGCGTGAGAGGCGCCCAGTCAACTCTTCGCAAAGAGCTCCATCAATTTGTGTGCAAGTGTGTAAAGTATGTTTGTGTTGAAACCCGACGATTAGTAGACATGATCACTCAGCAATTTTGAGACGAACACAGAGCTGAATACAAAACTGCCCACACGACAGTTCGCAGACCTCAGTCACGTTTATTCACTGACAGCACCTGATCTGACTTGATCACCGCCCTCCATCCCACTCGCCCAATCAAACGTCTCATTACATTCACTGTGAGACGATAACTCACTTTTCTGCTCCACAAAGAATAACACAAATTAGATTTTTTGCGGAAAAGAAATTTTCTTTTTAACACCACTGCTGTACTTTATTCGTCCGAGTTCACTGAAAGCGATTTTATTTTTTATTCATTACGGAGTCCGTGAACTAAAAGACCTCGAAAATGTTCACAACGCTGTTTTTCGCGGTTACGTAATACTCGATCTCGTATCAGCAGTAGTGTTTGTCGTTACCATAGACACAAGGACCTCTACGTTTGCACATCAGATTAAATTTATGTTACCGGTATCTCAAGTCCGAAATCCAAAAAAAAAATTAATTGACCTATCAATTATCCCAGCTATATCTCGATATCGCCTAGCCCTATCGCCGCGACGCGCAATACCCCCGAACTATACCCCGAATCGTTTAAAATCACCGGTGTTCATTTCAGAGCGTACGTTTTAACGTTAGACCTCAACACTGTGAATTGCTGCGCAAAGAGCCCGATTTTTCCAACGTGTAAAACGTACTATTTCCTCGTTGATTACTGGAACATTCATACTGGCAATGTGAGTGTGCTGTTGGTCGTCTACTGTACGCCACAGTCGACAGAGATCTATCACCTGGTCAAACCTGAGTGTGATTAAGGAGGTTCCCCCAAAAGAATGAGTTGTTAAGGTGGTAGCGCACTTACTTCGCCCGGTGTATAGTAAGGGGCGGTCGACAAATTGCGAGAACAACAATATTTTTCACAGTGATACAATGCTAATTTAAACCGCTATATACTTCGCTCTGTGTCGTGTTCCATGTCGGTTCGATACAAGGGCGCGTAAAATATACTATTTACGTAAATTAATTTCGAACGTCGACTGTGGCGGTTTGCTCACAGTGGTAAAATATTATGTCAATATTGTCCATGTTTCACGTCTTTTTTGAAGGGGACAATAAAACTTAATCTGGCAAGATGATGTCAGAAAAGACCTGTGGGTACCAGTATTAAACCTGGAGTTTAAACCTGGATCAGTTTCAACATTCAATGACATTTTTTTTTTTACAAATTGTAAAAACCTGTAACGTGAACACGTAACGTAATGACGTAACTGTGTATTCGTAGGAGATGCGGCTTGACGAACTGTTTTGTATATTACAAGTAATGAAATGTAATCGGTAACGTAACGAATACGTACAATAATGTTACGTCTTATTCATTCTCGAGATGAAGCTGGCTAAACGATGAACTTAGGTGTGTAGGTTACTTACATATTACAAAGTTTTGAGTGTAACGTAATACAGTAACGACATATTTACCCATAATTCAGCTCGATAAAGGTGAAGCGTCTGTTATTTGGAGATTACAAATTACCAAGTATAATCGAGAGCAAAAAACGTAACGAACGTAATACAGTAACGACATATTTACTCAAGATGCAGCTCAATAAATGTGAAGCGTCTGTCACTTGGAAATTACAAATTACTATGTAGAATCGAGAGCAAAAAAACGTAACGAACGTAATACAGTAACGACATATTTACTTGAGATGTAGCTCGATAAATATAAAGCTTTTGTTATTTGGAAATTACACATTATTGAGTGTGGCCGAGAACAAAAAACGTAACAAACGTAATAATAATAATAATAATAATAATAATAATAATAATAATAATAATAATAATAATAATAATAATAATAATAATAACGTAACGGTAAATGAACTGATTTTACAGTAAGGGGAGTAAACTCCACGTGGATACTGATTATGTAACAATATGTGACAATTACTCGATTCATATTACGACGTCTGGTGGACAGGAGAGGGCGGGGCACATTTTCCAAATGCATGCTGGATAAGTCAGCTTTTTGATGGGGTTTAAGCACGTACTCGACACACCCTAATTCGAGAGACGTTTTTACCTGTCTGTATTTGGTTGCAATTAGACGCAAAGCACCCGTTAAGTTAGTCACTCAAAGCAAGTAATTAAACCCAAGTATTACCGAAATACACCCTAAACAAAGAGAAATGCTTCCGTTTGAATGTCGACGGGCTATTAACCTTGTTCCCAGCCCATTCTGCGTTATGCGGAATTTGTATTTGTATAATATCGGTCCTCGCAGAACACTTTTCTTGCATTTGAGTTGTACGCTGGGCACATCGTTAATATTTCTTGTCCATGGCTATGATTTGTCGATACTTTTCTTCTATGCCAGTATAATTAGACTGATATTGTTTAAAATGACCGATTTCTGTACACTGTGATGATCCCATGGAATAATAGACTGACAACGCGTGACGTCACCGATTTCCGAATTGTTCTCTGTGGAGAATTGCACTGATGAGATAATTATTGAAAACGTGTTATCCGCGACGGCCCATTAAAACTTCGACTGTGGCAACATGACTTTGGAGCAAAGCTTCTTACGTCGAGTTTCTTGTTTTCAACGCTTCGGGCGTGGATCTCCTCACATCATTTATTTAGTTACGTAACCACCGCGTACACTGATAGTAAGGGTGGGAAAAACAAACTAAAATTAATGAGCGTTAAACAAAATAGTTCGCATATACCGGTGAAGTTTACACTGTCCGCGTAGAAGATAAATGTCGGTAATGGACCTGTTACTGGGCGCGTCGACCTGTCATCGGATAGGCGGGTTTGTTGTATCACGTTTTTGTAATTGGTTCTCTTAATCAGAAAATTGATAACAACACACGGATTAGCAAAGAAATTAAACACCCCGCGACACTCGCGGGGACGTGTGACATTCCATTATCGTCGGTTGCACAACCCGACGCACAAGACGATACAAACTAAACTTGTCGTTCGCGCGACCAACGTTTTTTGCAATTTCCGAATTTTTATTGATTTTTTTATTCTATTTTGGACTACGATCCTTAATCATGTTCCCATCCACGACTATAACTCCATATTATGGGCCAACACCGACTGAATTTTGCGAAACGCTAATAAACGTTCCTTTTCGGCAACACAAATATGCCAACAGCGCAAGGTTGCTGTCTTCTGCAAATCCGTAGCCCACAATAGAACACATATCTCAGATAAAACGCGCCGGCCCGTCGACATGACCCGCTTTTTAGTACCCATCAAGTAATCATCCATAATATACTAGAGCAAAGATACCGACAACAAATATATTGTTTTTTTCTTATTTACTCGTGAATTGAGTTCCCACCATTGCAAACCCGCAAGGGGTCTGACATTCTTTTGCCTAATCGTTCCGTTTAAATTGGTGTTGTTATTGGCTTGTCTGTCGGCATGCATGTTTGCCTAGCCGTAGTAAGTATCGTTTTAAGTATTCCTCGCTCACAGGCTGGATTATCGAAGATGTTTTCCCTGCCTCTTTCAGAATAAAAACATTCCAAATACTTAACTCGACATTTTTAAAACTTTAATTCGATATATAGTTTTTTTTTAAAGAAAATACTCACTCCCCCCACAGGCATTGTTTTCAATTTAGCGGGCCTGAGAATCGGTCCTCGCCTCTGGGAAGTCGCTGAGTGATTACTGTCTAAAGAAGACAAGTTATTCTAAAGTACAGAGTTTGAGTGAAATTGAAAGACAGTTTGGAGCGCCGCGGGCATCACTTGTACAATTTATCGCGCAATTAGAGGATTTCACGGGAGAGGTGCTAATAATACAATACATCAAAAGCAGTGGTTTAGACCATTGTCACCGCGTCACAATAAGACATCCCCTTTCGAGGCTTCTCTATTATCTCTCATTCTTTAGGGACTATGGATCGATTCAGGAGTCACCCCGTGGTCAGACTGTCAAATCCACTTAAAGGCGACGCATTCAGCCACACGTTTTGATACACCTCGCGTGGCTTTTATTCACTGGATACAAGTGGCAGTGTTCTCCCCAATTCTCACGTTTTTCTGGCACCAGTGCTGAATTTAATGTCGTACGTGAGTTCCGAACTAACAGCGGGGACGTGGGACGCCTCCGGTAGAACCATTGCCGTTGTTTCAGATCCTGGCGCTATCCGGCACTTGAGACTGAAAGAACAAGAAAAGAAAAGTCCCAAACATCGAAGGTTTTGCTTTGTCTTATGTGAAGCTATATTTATTTGGGCGGGGTACAACTTGACATGGGGTCGGTAGATCGATCGGTGCGAGTTTTCAGAACAGATTTTTTTTAAATCGAAACTGCCATCGTCTCCTCAAAGGCACCCGAACACAGAGACATATAACCGGAACTTAGCATTCAATCAGAACTTGTACGTTTCAATATGCCTGGTATTTTTGTCAATGTACGTCATCATAGAAACTACAGTCTCGTTCGACAGTAATCATTAAAATCGTCCTCAAAATATATATCTATCACACTTCTGCCTGACAGGTAAATGTTTGATTTGAAACGAAATCCTAAAAAACTAAATTGTTTTTATATACATGTACGAGAAATTGATCACGCGCTTTTTGGACCAAT